TATTGGTCTTTCTTCTGGACTTACTCTGATCGCTACGGTTATTGAGCGAAGGATTTTGCTATCAAATCTTTAAATAATTTTTTCTTGGTTCTGGTTAAGATCTAGGTCTCACAGTTATATATTAGAACTGGCTTTATACAGTAATTCATAAAACAAAAAAAAAGTCCAGACGAGGTAAACCTAGCATAAATTTATTAAAATCGGTGTATAATAAAAATATGGTTTTAACATTAATAATTATTTATTTTCATAACTAAATGTTAATAATAAAAATAATTAAAACCAAAACATTTGTCCATATAACATGAGTAGATATACAAATATGCCTTGAAAAATTGATATTTCAAGGCAAAAATTATTTTGAAGAAGTAATTAAAGAAGATCCAAAATCTTTAAAAATATAACAAGGAAGTGATGGAAACATTATTTGGTGAAAGAAATATATAATAGTCAGCTGAAGAGAGTAGCTCTAGACTAATGCCATTATTGAGAACTATATTAGGTGACAAAGGACTGTAGGCGCCTACCACTAGCGGATCCAGGATTTAATTTTGGAGGGGGGGGATTCAGCCCGAAAGCTTTTTTTTCAAAAAAATAACGATTACTATTTTGGAAAAAAAGAAAGAAATTAACTACCTATATGAAATGGTGTTTAAGTGATTCCTAAACCCCTTTTAAATGTAATTAAACGAACAATTATACTTCGAGAGATAATTTTTCAATATGTTTTTCGATAAAACATGGTTATATTTTCCCATTTTTTTTTGGGGGGGGAGGAGGTAGCTTCAGCACGAAAGCCGTCCCTCTCCCCGTAGATCCGCCCGTGTTTCAAGGAGACTATATGGTAGATATCGGAGGATACGTTTAAAAATATCGGATAAGTAGCAACAATAAAAACAATATTGGCTTTATTAACATTATTTTATAACTTCATAAGTTTTTATTGTTTACTTTCGTTATAGAGGCGTAAAATACAAATTACTTACAAGTTACTGCTATTGTTTACAAGAACAGTAATTCAACTCTCCAGCGGTTGAAGTAAAGTTACATTTGGAGAAAGTCGTGATGAGGTATGAATGCTTTAAACGCAATGAAACAAAATTCTCCAATAAAATATTAAAAGTTAAAAAAAATTTTTTTATTTTAAAACAAATTATATTTTTATTTTAAAATAAATTCGTATTTACATGTTTTAAAGGACGCTAGAAAGGAATCTGAATTACGTTTTTATGGTAAAAACTTTCTTGGTCTACTTTACAGAAAGCATATTCGATTTTCGTAAACTATAATAATAGATTTCCATTCGTTTAGTAAAATTGGCAATCTTTCATCTTATTTTTAAAAAATCTGATCCTCGCATCACACTTTCACTTGCCACAGTAAGTTTTTAAAGAAAATTTATAATGAAGCTAAATCTTAAAGAACACATTTGTGAATTTCGGTTATATCTCATCATCACCATCATAATCATGTTCCTCTTTACCACCTATGCAGTGTGAGTTTGCTTCTCGTAGAGCATGGACCAGGTGAACCTTTCCAGTACAAGCTCTCGTCTCCTGTTCCATTCTAAACCTTGCTTCTGGAATGCATCTCGCACGCCTTCTTCCTAGGAGATTCTGGATCTTCCTCTCGGTCTCCTACCCTGCACGCGAGTCTCATACGTATTCTTTGCGACTCTGTTCTGATCCATACGGAGAAGGTGCCCAAACCATCTCAACTAATGTTCTTCTATTATGGTCTCGACCGCTTTGGCGACGAGATTGGCGCGGATTGTAGTGTTGCGAATTCTGTCTCGTCGAGTCTTTTCCTCCACCTTTCGCAGGTATCGCATCTCTAGAGCCAGGATCTGGCCCCTATGTTTCGAAGTAAGTGTCCAGGACTCGGAAGAATACGTCAGTGTAGGAAGAAATACTGATCTGTAGACTGTCATCTAGGCGAACTGAAGACCCAGAACTACACTCATCTGTACTCGGGGGTCAACGAGAGAGAGAAACCAGCCAGCGGAGTAGGTTTCATTTATCGTAATGATCTTGTATCAGGAATCAAAAGCCGGAAATTTGTGAGCGATTGGATCATGATCCTAGACGATCATGTTCCGATGTGTGCCTTAGCTCACTTCTTACAAGGGAGGAGGGCTAACGAGTGTGCTCAGCACACCGCGCTGCCCGCCAACCTGATAACCGAAGTTATTGATGGAAAAATAATCACGAGTTCAAATCTCGGTAACCGGTGGGACTTTTAACTCGGTATAAATCCTCCGGCTCAGGAAATGCCCTATGTAGGAGGGGAGAACAAAAAAACAAAAAACTCACTTCTTACACTCTATGATATAAAAAAAGAAAGTTTTTGGGTCTGAACAATTCAAACTGTTAAAAGGAAACTTTTTAATATGTTCCATCATAGTTTCAAGCCCTGCCCTCCACCTGTTGTCATTTTCTTTCAAATTTCGTCTCATCATATTAACATGGATTCACAATATTGTTAGTTATATGCAATTGGCCGCTTTCTTTGGCTCTTTGGCACTCATGCTCCTCCTCTATACTTGATGGTGGGCTTTTAATTCTTTGTTTCTAACGATTCATTATTGTTTTATCACAAATTTTTTCCATCCAGGAATAGAAAAATATTGAATTGCATTTGAAAATATGAATGAATCACAGCTATATGATATATCTTATAAATAATAAGATTGGCCATTTTCACTTTAAATTCTGTATATTAACCAATTTTCTTGAATAAAAAATGTATTAAATAAAATGAATGTATCTAGCTAAAATTTAGTATAATCCCAAAAAAACAACTTAATTTTGATTATATCTTCGCCATTTATGTTATTTGGTTCATTACTTACTCAAGAAGAATATATTACAAAATATTTTGTTTCCTACTGTTTCTTTTAATATGATGAATATAGCATATAGCATATACTCGTAGCACCTACTTAATGTATAGATTTTCAAATAATTTTTCCATCTTGAAATGTGTAATAGATCATCCCAATAACTGTATGAGTAATGTATATATTTAATAAAAAATGTCATGTTTTGAAACTTTCAAAATTAAAAATTCTAAAAATAAATATCTTCTTTTTAGGTTGTGATTTTTTATAATAAATGAAAGCCCACACGGTCATTTCTAGAATCCCTTTTGTATTACATTTTCAATTATGGATAGTGGTCTTTTTAGAAAATCTTACAAGTACTTGAAATGATTCTTTGATTGGTCTCATATGAATTAAAAAACTTTTAATTTTTAAGTCTTTGGTGTCTTTTTTAATAAGATGATTAAATTTTTAAACTAAACAAGTTTGGAGCGTCTCCGTTGAACAATGAGATTTTTATTTTAGTTTGATGAGTCGGAGAGAATACGTCAGCAGCAGAGGATCTATGGGGGGAGGGGAGAGAGAGGCTTTCGGGCTGAAGGCTCCCCAAAATGGTAAAATATAACCATGTTTTAGTTTCTTTCTTTCTTCTGAAGTAATAATCGTAATATGTACATACACAAAAAAATTATTTCGGGCTGAAGCCTCCTCAAAATTAAATCCAGGATTCGTTAGTGGTCAGTAGTATTAAGTGTTAGTGCAATCTAAATTTTTACCATTAATGCACTTTTGTTAAAAATCCTCAAAATATCCAAAGCTGAGTCTTAAAAAAATATTATCATCGCAAATAATCAACATTTTAGAATAGTTTCAAGCTTTAAATATTAGAATAATGAAAATAAATAATATCAAACTTCATCGATTATCCTTACCAATAACAATTTATATTTACTTCCATGCACCATGCATTAATCCTACAAGAATATTTTAGACTGCAGGGAAACAAAAATATAAACAATAAAAAAAAATATATTAATTATATTATAAAATATAATAAGAGATATACAAATAACATTTATTGTGTAGTACACATCCCCCTGCATTTACTCCTTTATGTGACAGTGTGTGAGGGAATGAGAAGGAATATATAATATATAGGAATGTGAGGTTGCACTGTGAATTGTACTCAATTGTGCAGTGGACAAATTGTTCTTTGAAAAGTATCATATGATAAACAATCGATGAAGAAGGAAAAAGGTCCGACCAGGTAGCAGCAGCTGGAGGAAGACGCCAGGGAGAGAAGGGGCACTTGAGGCTTGGACACGAAGACGAGAGGACGTCATCTGGGAAGAGAGGCTTACTATGTTGAAGACTAAGAATATCAAGCCTACAGTTATAAGACTTTTATAAATTCATTTATTACAGTTATCAAAATAAATTGTTTTATTATACAAGAGTGAAAGTCATTTTATTTAGTTGTCCTATATGCCTCACAATTGAAGAGTAACAAACCAGGTGAGACAATTCATTTAAAGTGTATTTCCCACATAAGTCCCACATTTCAAATATATATTCTTATTAATTCTTCTCACTCAATGTCACAAAAGGTATTAGGTTCCCGAATTCCCAAAGACAGTTAAACATCCGCAAAAAAAGTCTATTTCCAGAGCCAGGGATTTTTTTTTATATTCACGAGTGTAAATAACCTAGTTCCCACAATAAAAGCGGAAGGCTATTCGCCTATTCCCGCCAAAACAAATTATTCGCAATTAACTTTTAACATGTTATTTACAATTGACATATGTTAAAATTTGAAACTCAATAATCTGATCTATTAATTTAGATTTTTGAAATACATTACATATATTTCCTTATCACTATGTATCTCAATATTGTTAGTTATTTATGATTGACAGTTATTTACTCTTCAAATTGAGTCAAGGAACATAAACTTCCCCTTGATTGATAAAAGAATATAAATTGATAAAAAGTTATTATTTCTTAAGATAAAAATATTTGTTTAATATTTACTATTAAATCATCAGAAAATAATTGACTAAAAAAAGATATGTAAAATCTGATAAAATTTAAAGCGTGTTTTAAGTATGAAGTTAAAGATTATTAGTACTAAAATAATTGTTTTTCTATTTTAGAAAATTTTAAGTATGCACATTTTAAACATGTTCATCGAAATATAAATGGGCCTATCCAGAGATAAGTAAGGTGGAACAGCTGCTCCCTGCCTCACTCTCTCTTCCGACGTAGAAAAAATTTAAAATAAAATAGCAATAAATATTAAAAAACAGTTATTAACAGTGGCAGATAGGCTATATTTAAAAATTCTGAAAATTTTACTAAGAAATAAAAAGTAATCTCTCCTCCTAATTAAATTAACTGTCTCCCCTTTTCACCAATTGTCTCCCTCTTCTGGCTACATTCTTGCAAGTAAAATATTAAAATTTAATAGTATTTAAAAAATTTGAGATATTATAGGCATATTATCTCTACGAAGTCAACGAGGTAAGTAATTTTCAAGTAGTAGAGAGATTATATATTGAGTTAGTTCAGCTGCTCCAATGTTAACAAAAGTCAAATTTTAAAATGTTACTAATAAACAATTGTCCATTTGCTGGTCTCAAAACATTTTTTAGGTGTTGCACAAAAAACGTTAAAAGTGGTGTTAATTGGAAATCCAATGATTTCCCTCTCCTCTTGAATACGAAATGTAAATGTCGACTCATGAGTCCCAATAAAGTACCTAAAACAAAATTGGGTATATAAAATACTTTATACTATGTGAGTATAGAATACTTTTGTCAAAAACAAGATGAAATTCTATATAGATAGACTAGTCAAGATAAACATTTTTAGTTTATTTACTTATTTAAAATAAAGTAATACATACTGACTAAAATTTTAATAAAAAAACAACATAATCCAATGAACTATAAAATTACTTACCTTGCATAAGAACAAATAATTTGATCAATTATTGCCAGTCCTCCATCTTTGATTTTTCTTTTGACCCCAGGACTTGGAACATACTGAACCAATTTCGCATCATTCAAATTTTGCTTTAATATTTCCACATCTGAAATAAAAAATAACCATACAAATAATAGTAACGAATATTTCTCTTTTTTTTTTTAATCACAAAATATGAGAAATAAATATTTTTTGAATTAGTATATTACTTACACAAGGCATAATAAATTTCAGGTTAATTATAAACAAAGCATGATTACTAAATCGAGCAGATGAATTTTCCAGCCATAAAACCATTTGTTTCTTAATTTTTATTATAATTATTATTTGTAAATTATACAAGAAGCTTCAAAATGATAAAAATATTATTATGTATTAATTGGAGGATTCAAAAGTGAATTAAGGCAAGTGTTTGTAAAATCACCAAGTGACTGCAAAATTGTTGGATAATACGAGACTTCATGGCTTCTCCATTTAATGGTAACCATGGTTACTGGACTCATTATTGAATAAAACCATTGATGGAGTGAGAGCACATTCGAGCGACAAGGAAATCGTAATCTCACCCCTTTCAGGACTCTGTGTGAACACAGCTTCTAGTATTGATTCATTTTTTTTTTTTTTTTTTTTAATGATTCTAAGTATAGTAAGAATAAAATTATGTTTAGATAAATTTTTGAATAGAATTAAAGAGAAATTAAAACTACCTTCAGAAGAACCATCAGTAGCAAGGTAGATAGTGTTCAGTTTTAAATTGGTCAATAATTCCTTTAATTGTTTAGCTGCAAACTTAAGCGATGGCAACTGGTTCCCCCGGCTGTATACAAAGTCACCACGCCTCAAATGAGCACAAACAAATGGACCACCTACTGCCTTCCTCTCGTCCTTCAATAAATAACATAAAGGAATAATATATTAAATAGATTCAAAACAAGGATAAAAAATACTTGTATCAAATGCCAATTTTATAATAAATTAAGCTATAGATAAAAAAAAGGTTGGGAACTTGTAAACTTAGACAGATAACACTAACAAATTTTTATCCTGAAAGGTTAATTTAAATATACTTTTTAAGTTTATAAATATACTTATTAAACTAAAAGGTTGAAAAAAAATCATTGGATTAATATTTAACATTCATGGTAAATAATTTATCAAAATTTCAACTGTATTTTACAGACACTACAGAATTTTATGAAAATCATCAATACTTAAAACAGAAGAAAAATTTTATATTGATCTTAAATAAAGAAAATAAATTTTAATAAATGATAGTTCAACATGTTTATCTTTATGTAAGTGTTTTATGATGTTTTATATGTAATAAAATATGATGTTTGTATATACGTAATAAAAAAAGAAAGAGACGCTTTTTAGATTTTATAAATACATATTAATATTAATTGTGGATGAGGCAAGATATATAACTAAATAAACACAGTTTTATTATAAAACTTTAGCTCATCACACAATTTTATTTGTTTATGTTAACTCTGAATGCTCACTTCTTATAAAAGAGATTCTGTCATGATCCACAAAGCAGTAATTGTTGTTGAAAAACAAAGAATATTTTTCCAAAGATCAATCATCGGATTGCCTTTAAACATAAACTTTTTTTTAACAGGATAAGTAGAAACTTCTAATTTCCTTTATTTTTCAAAATATCTGACATGACTTCAGGATGGTTTTACAACTTATTCTGACAAATCATATAAATGGTACAGAGAATGGTCTGGATACATCTACACAAAAATTACACATATGTACAAGCATATATCTTTACCATAAAAAAAAAATAAAGCAGATGATCTTGACTTACAAGAGGTTACGAAAATGGGGTCACCAATTTTAACAAACCTTTTTTTATTGATACTAGGTTAAAAAAATATTAGACCCGTATCTGAGAGTTCTTGTCAATGCACTCAAGGAGGCAAGAAAAAATATTTTATAAAATTTTAACATTCTTTTATATTATTTTTTGCTGCCTTAGTTCTATTAAATATTCTAGGTTATAATATGTCAATTAATTTTTTTTTTTGTTTGTGTTGAATAAAATATATTGTTGATTGTATTAATTCAAATGTTTAAGAAAAGAAAAAAACCAAAATGCGCTTCAAGTAAAGTATATCAAGGGAATTTTTTTTCATAAAAGGCTTGAACAGGTATCAGAATCTATATACCTGGGCTCGCAGATCACTGTTGATAACCAGATGGATATGGAAATAAATAAGAGAATTTTGCTGGCCAATCGAGCACCCAAAAGCACCCTGGTGACCGAGTGTAACAAAGTAATCCTCTACAAGACTCTTATCAGACCGGTTTTAAGTTATGCATCAGAGACCTGGACGATAACCAAGGCAGCCGAGCAGGACCTCCTAATATTTGAACGAAAAATTCTAAGAAGAATTTTCATTATTATTTTTTTTTTTATGGTAATTTTTATTATGGTCCAGTGTGTGTGAATGGAGAATGGAGAAAGAGGAAAAATCAGGAGATCTACCAGTGTTTTAATGAGACCAATATTGTCAATTTTATAAGAGGAGACCATCTAAGGTGGGCAGGTCATGTGGCCAGAATGAGAGACTACATGATCCCAAAGAAGGTGTTGGTTGAAATCCTGTATGGAGTGCAATGAGTAGGAAGACCAAAGTTAAGATGGAGGGATAGAGTGGACAAGTATGTCAGGAAGCTAGGAGTTCGAGACTGGATGGTGGCAGCACAAAGCAGACACACCTGGCGGATGCTGTTGGCGGAGGCGATGACTCGCTAAGCAGATTGTAGAGCCAGTATAGATAGATAGATTACGTCAATTAATTTATTATTTTTAGTAAAATAAGAAAAACAAACTGATGATTCTGAATGATTAATTCCAATGTATAAGAAATTACAACAACTAAAAGAAAATACACTTCCAATAAAGTAAGGCAAGTTAATTTTTCTCAACAAAAAGCAATTCAGATTCAGATTTATAGTGTCTTATAAAACTATTTGAATTCAATGTTACTACTACTGTTGGAGAGCAGAATTATTGCTCTTATAAACCATACAAATAACTTTAAGATTTTATGGCTTTATACGGAATAAGTAAAGAAAAACTCTTCAAATGTTTTTATTTCATATATTCAGTTCTGATTTGTTTAAGGGGTTCTGTTTTGTGGCAGTTTGTATAGTTAATGTCAGAAAAGGGCAAATGCTACTCAGAGTACCGAGTACGAAATATTTTACTCAAATTGAATCACTAAACTCAGTACTCAAAGTAGCATTTGCCCATATCTGGTTTATGAGGCCCTAAATTCCTGATAATTTTCGTGTGGATAGATGAAGTAGTGTTGAAGTTCTCAAAAGTTATGAGACTTTGGAAAACAAAATCGAAAACTCCAACCAATAAAAAATTTCAATTAAAAGGCTCCTGCATTCGATTTTATTTAAAAATACGTGTGACAACATTGCTTAAAATTCAATCTTCAATCCAAATTCATACATTGGTTCAAGAATTTGGCACATATACATATACACAATACATATTAAAATATATATAGAGAAAATAAAACTACAAGAAAGCAAAATAAAAGAAAACTATAAATGAATAAAATATTCATGAGATATTTTCTTTTATAATATTTATAATTTAAGCTGGCTGGCTTACACATTTTACATAATAATACAATAACTAAATAAGAATAATAGGCCAGATTATCCTACAGATGCTGAATTACTTAGTGAAAATTCCATTTAAAGCTTTGATATTCCAATTATTGAAACAAGTTCTGAACCAAATACATTCTTTGGTAAATATTTATCAATACTATCCCCAATTAAAATGTTACAGAAAACTCTTCCAATTTAATAATAATGGTTCATCAAAGTCCTCTAAGCCTACCTTTTCATTCTCCCAATTCGAAGGCCGAACAGTGTTGTCCTTAGTATCATTGCAACCAAGGTATTTAGTACGAAATGTATCAGCTACTTTTACTAGATTTTTTGCAAACCTCATACTTCTTCTACATTTCCAATAAAGTTGGTCGCCAAAACCATCATGCACAACTATTTCAGCATGATCTATCAATATACGCCTAAAAAAAAAGTAAAGAAAAAAAAAGTTTACTATTTCTTATCCCTTTAAAATCAGTAAACAATTTGATTAACTTATTTTTAGTTTTGGCAAAATATATTTTAAAAAAATATGTCAGCATCTTTAAAAAGATGCACCACTACTGTATACAGTTTTAAAAATAGAACAAATATTCGAATCCTCATTAGTAACATATCTAAACATTTTTACCAAATCAACCATATTAATAATAAATATTTAGTTTTGAAATTAGTAATTATTATTAAATGCATCATAAATCAATGAAAATCAATGAACTGAACCGAATGTAAAGAAAGAGAGTATTAATTAACTTATTTAATCTATTATTTTCAATAGTTCTGTCCTAGAAATTTAATAAAATGACAATAGTTAAGAGCATCCTCAACGAATTAATCTTAAATATACATTTTAAGTCTTCTTAAAAAATAATAATAATAAAAGGAGTATGGAACTGAAAACAAATGGTGAATATAGGTAAGCCAATTTAATATTTGAGTAGGAAATGAGAAAAATTAATTTTAGTGCTTTGTAGTATGGTTTATGAAGTGGTGGATGATGCAACTTTTTTTAATCTCCAGAACTTTAATTATATTCAATAGCAAGTTGTTGTAATAGATTGTTCCTAATTTAATTTGTACTGGGTATAAATGTTTTTATTGTCCAATAAATAATTTATTATTTCAATCCTACAACATTTGCATTCAACTATATAAATAGAAAATTCAATAATGAGATATGGCATATTAACAATTTGAGACATGTGCCAACAATCTCAGCAAGATACATGGCATGGTCAGTGATGTGGCAAGATACATCTTGTGTATTGAGGGATCACATGATAAGAAAAAGATATCCACAGATGGAGAATCTTTTTATCATTAGAGGTCGCATTCTGGTTAGAGAGTGAATAAGGAAGGTCGTTAGATTTTAAAATATTTTTATTTGTTTAAGCATAGGTATAAATTTTGATTTTCATATTGTCATAGAATATATAATTAAATATTAATTTACACTACAGATGGCATTTTATGAAAATCACACAAAAACTCACAGGGACAATACATTTACTATTGGAGACCATAGGTTCCCTACCTATAGAATAATTAATCAAATGAATTTTTGATAATATACAAAAACTTAGGAGAACTTACTTACTGTAATGACTTTCTTTCAACATATTTTTCAGAAATGAAGCTGGTCCTTGAAAAGATACACAATGCAATGATCTGCTAGTCATGTTCTCATAACTCAAATAATCTCGATAATACATTCCATTTTTCAACCTACAAATAAGATTGTCTCAAAAAATAAGATTGACATTCTCAAAAACCACAACATACTTTTTAAAATATATAAATTGGATGTCAAGCAATTAAAATTCATAATCCGATAACTTCATAGTTATAAGACTAGAACATCAAAACATTCCACTATGTGCTCCTTAAATAAATAGAATCTATAATAATACTTGTATGCTGATGATTTGCAGTTGTCCCCTTGACAAAGAACTTCTTGGTTACAATCAATTAATGACCACTTATCATTCCAGTTCCAATTTTTATCTTTGAATGCTCCATCAAAATGTTGTATTACATATATTTCATCAATTTGATAGTCGCCAGATTCTAAAAAACAAATATGATAAATATTTCCTGAAATAAAAAACATTCAGTCAAGCTCAAGGCATCAGCAAACATGAGTCAAGCGCAGTGTGATCAATGTGAACTTCATCAGTCAACTAATTGTGAGAATTATTTCAGAATGTGCCATTTAAAAAATGTATTTACCTTCTAAAAATTCTGTGAATTCCATAATTGGAGAAAAACGTTTTAAGCTTTTAATATCGAAAAATGAACTCCAGGAAAGAAAATTTTGATTTCCTACATCTCGAGATTGCCAATGATATAAATGAGGCCAAGGAGGTAATACCTAAAAAAATAAAATTAAAATAAGTAAATTTTGTTCTCATTTACACAAGGCTATTTGACCACCAATTTTTATTTATTTCTTAAAAATAATTTTAAAGAGAATGTTTTGATTAGCGCTAGAGCTATTATCATAATTTATTTTAGTTAAATCCTTTTATTAAAAAATAATACATTTTTCCACACTCAAGGGCAATAAGTATTAGAGCTAAGTAATAATTATAACAAAACAACATACAAAAACTTTAACAAAAGAAACAAAACTTGAAATTATATTAAATAGAATACAAAAAAAAAAAAAAATACATTCTTAATAACAATATGTACAGACAGCTAAGGGAGCTCCAAGTTCAGCCTTTTCTCCTACCTGTGGAGGACAAGGCAAGGACTCAAATAGATCCCAGGTATCAAAGAGAGGCAAAGGAATATAGTCACCGGCATGGGAGTCCAATAGAAACTGACAGAGAGAACTCGAAGCACAGACTCTTATACCTTCAGTGGAGAAACTGGCCAATGCCAGAACTCCAAATTATCTTAATAGAAATTCTTAGTGAATAACAAAAGATAACAATTTATACTCACCAAATGCCAATCCTGATCATCTTGTATTAAATGCATGAAAATAGCCATTCTCATGTAGACATCCCTTCGTAGATTGAAGCCTTCAGAATAATTTACATCATACAATAAATACCTAGCATCAAAGAACGACCAACTTTATTATGAATATTAAAAACAAGAACGCTTATAATTATTACAACTCAATATTGAAGTTTTTTTAGTTCAGTGTTTTTGTGAATGTACATAAACATGTACAAGAATATATTTATACATCACTACTGTACAGCAAGCACTTCAACGATTTCCCAAATTTGCATGATCATGATCAATAAAATTATTATTACACGAAAATTGAGATTTTCAAATTATTATTATGTATAATATACTAATTATTATATATTTCAATATAAGTATTAAGAAAATTAAGACTTTTTGAATTTTAGTTTTGATGCATTTGAGTTTCTTTCTTTTCAACGATTGTTGTCATAGAAATATCCAAAAGTTATCATATATCGATAGAGCTACTGAAACTGGACATAAATTGGTTGTACTATTTTAGGGAGGTGACTCGAATCAAAATGCTATTTTTACATATAAAAATACAAATGAACTTGACATTTTAAAAGCTGTACATTATACTGTGTACAATGTATATATTGTACATGAAGAAATATAATTATGAATTCAGATAAATATTTAATTAATTGATTAATCAATTACAATTTACCTCAAATTCGATTTTGGTATCTTCGGAGAAGAACATAACTTATCTTCAACAGAACAAAATTCGTTAGTTTGAATGCTTAATCCCAGGAAAAATACAACCAAAGCTAAAGTATTTTGCAATTTTGTAGTCATTTTTGAAAAGTATTAAATACTTCATTGAATTATTCAGCTTGTTGTTGGATAATGCAATCTTAAAATTATTTTATTTTCAAAATAGTCAATCCAATCACGTTCAAGTCCAACTGAGAAACTTATCAATATTATTAAACAAACTAAAATATATCAAACCGGGAAAGAGATAAGAGATAAGGCAGTAATTCGTGAACGATTAGGTAGTGATGAAGAGAACTTTGAGGATAAATAAGTTAGAAAAATTAATATTAATTTATTGAGTAACAAGAGGTTGACTGTTGTATAATATTCAGGGAGATGATCCGGAGTGGCGGTCATAAAAAACAACTATTTTTGTTATGGCTTAAAATAAAATAGCAGTTCACTATTTTAAGTTTTTTTTTATGATCACTACCCGAACTATCTCCTTCCTGAATAATATTAATTTTACTACATTTACTAGTTACATGCCAATACAAACAATAGGTTGTCCTGTTTGTGTTATCCAGACTAGCTGGAAAGGGATGGAAGCAGCGTTTCCACCGCATAATTAATTTTTTAATTTCTCTTTCGGTCAGTCATATCCTTTTTTCTTCCAGCTTAGATATTCGGCGTTTCCGAGAAAATCACGTTATCCTCCCTGACTAAAAATATTAAATTTATTTCTTAATCTGTTTTATATTATGTAATATTTGAATTTTATTTCATTCAACATTTTTTAGCAGAGTTGGTTTATTCATAGGCTAAAAAAAAATATTTTTTTTTTTTAATTTCTAACCAGAGGCGAGCGCCCCTAAACATCGGTCGGCACAACGGGGTTACGTCTCGCTTGCCCCATCCAAGGCCGGCACTGCCCAAATATATATTTAAAAATACGTTATAATATATGTAACTTCTCGTTTTATGTCTATATTACTAGCATTATTTAAAAAAAAATTAAACTGGGCTAATATTGATTTATAAAAAAATGTTTTCCTTTTTTCCCCTTACATCCTCGGAATTTCCCTAAAAAGGGAAATTTTTCTTCAAAGTGAAAACCCGTAATGGTAGGGTTGGAAATACATAATTCTTTTGCGGATTTACTTTTAGATGGATTTAGTAAAGTTTTAAGATATATTTTTAAAATTCAAAATTCAGACAGGTAATTACAAAAATGTTGGATAAAATTGTAATAAGTAGTATATTTTTTTCAGAAAGCTTCTAACTGCTCGGTTATAGCTTCCTAAAAACAAATTTTCTTACCACAATTTTCAACAGTCCTAAAACATACTCTAGAAATGGTATATTGGATAACCAGAAGTAAAACTAAACATTTAACGATCTTCTAGTCTCAATGGTTGATTATTAATAAATGTAATGGTTCGGAAAATAAATCGTTTTCTTCACAAGGGATTTCCCTGGAGGAAATGTCAACATTTGAAAAGGAGATAGTCAACCGAGGATGTAGTTGAGTTTCGCAAATCACATATTCATACCTCAGTTCGTTGTCCAGATAGATATTCCAATTTCCAATTTCCGGAAATTGAAAAAATGTTTCCAAGAATGGAAGTTCCAAGAAAAAAAGTTTTCTCTAAGAGAATCCGAAATTCCCTAATATACTTTCGAAGATATATCGAAGTTGGGAGATCAGTAAACAATAAATACTTGTAACAATTCTGGTACCTATTATTTTTTTTGTCCTACTTTGACGGATCTCAGAATCTAACCAGGAATTGGTCCACTTAACATATATTGATAGAAAACTGATAAGTATGTTATTCACATTTATGTCCCAAAATGATCGGATATTTGAGCATTTTGGTTCGTTAATCAAATTCCACTAAAAATATCATACCTTTATGATTTTTATGAACTATTTATTTTTGCTTAACAGTGTTATTTTCATTTTTCATTATTTGTAAAATACTTACATGAGCATTAATTTTATTATCATACTTCTTTCCCTTCGGTTGGAAATCATTAAGATGGTGCTTTGCATAATTTTGGTGAAATCAGACTAGTTTTATTAATTTTTTTTTTCATTGATGCTCTGAAACACGTAAAGATCATCATGGCTGAACGAAAGCCAAACAAATGGAATTGTGAAGTTTTTATTGCCTACCGTATACATATATAATAAATAGCTTTTGTGTTATTTTAATTATATTAATAATTTCTTAGCTCCGTTAAAAATACACTTCAAAATTTTTATAATAGTCCAACATTGACAGAAAATAATTTCTATTCAAAGTAAAGTGGTAAGTGAAAGTTGTGTGATGCGCACACCAGATTTTTTAAAGAAAGGCAAAACATTTATTATTTTGGAGGAATACCAGAAATATATCTTTTTTCTTAAGAAGTAACTAGTTTCTTAAAATGATTACATAACAGAAAAATCATGCAGTTGAAAATCTAGTTATTAAAATGCAAATTAACATTGATCTGTTTTAAGTTAATATATATTAAAAAAATTATAAAATGAAAAAGTAATAATAAGCTTTATTAAAATTTAATTCCAAATACTAATAATGATGGTTTACAACACTGAAGACGCAAGTTGTTTATGTTTTCGGAAGAAAGGAAGGTTTCACCCAAGCGGTATTGAGAGGTTGTATTTAGTTTGATTAAATGTATCTTGTTAATGATTAATGTTAATCAGGTCGTTTTAATCATTTAACTTTACGTGGTCATTTATATTATTTCCTATAATGAGTGGAGGAGGAATGCTATATGGTGGTGATGAAATCGGAGCGTTAGTTTTCGATGTTGGGCATCATTCTTTTAGAGTTGGATATGCCCAAGAAGATACTCCAAAAGCAGAAATACCATCAGCTGTTGGAGTGTGTGAAGATGGTAACGGCACAGCTACAATTAAGACCGAAAATTTAGATGTTGACAAAAAACCTGATTCAAGTAACATTAGTTCTACTGCTGGACCAAAGTATTACATTGATACTAACATTCTCAATGTTGCTAGAAAAGGCATGGAAGTAGCTAGTTTTATGAAAGATGGAATGATTGAAGATTGGGATTTATTCGAAAAGGTTTTAGATTACACCTATGCAAAATGTATTCAGTCCGAGTCAGAATACCATCCTGTTTTAATGTCAGAAGCTCCATGGAACATGAGAACCAAAAGGGAAAAGTTGACTGAACTAATGTTTGAAAAATATAATGTACCGGCTTTTTTCTTAGTTAAAAATGCAGTTTTGGCAGCTTTTGCGAATGGAAGAGCAACTGGGTTGGTTGTAGATAGTGGTGCAACGCATACTTCTGCCATTCCTGTGCAAGATGGCTTTGTATTAAGTCAAGCAATTGTTAAATCACCTCTTGGAGGAGATTATATTACAATGCAGTGCAAACAGTACCTTCAGGTACATTTATATATTTTTAAATAATATTTGTAAGCTTACCCTTGATATATTGTATAAGTTTCAAAACTTAAAACTATTTTTATTAAACTATTTGGCTTTTATTAATATAATAGGTTTTAACTTTTATTTATTTTCTTATTTGTCATGTCTAAATTATTCCACATCTCCACCCAACAGTGAAAATTTGCCATTTGTTTGATTGGTTAATGTTCAACGTTTTTATAGAATTTTTTTTTTTTAATTTCAATAAGCCAAAAAATGACAATTTTTATGGTATTACTTTACAATTGTCATTATGTTATAATGCCCCAAGTGGTTGAAGCATTAAAGTCATTCCCAACAAGACTGGGTTAAGATCACATTGATCATACTTTCGATGTTTTTTGAAGATTTTAGTGTGTGCCCAAAGTTGTTGAAGTTGGCCAATCCTTTGGGGAAGGACCTAATCTCAAACTTGAGAATTTGTTTATCACTATTCACTAATTTTCAGGGTTGTATATACAGTGTGATCAATGTAATATTTTCCCAGTTTAATTACTTTTCTTTTGTAAAATATTGAACCCATTTCATTCTTCTGGGATTTATTATTTTATTATAGTTTACCTTGACATTGACATCAAAGAACGGGGTACCTCAGTGGGTAGGGCACAGACTTCCAAAGCTTAAGGCCCTGGGTTTGTGTCCGGTTAATGGTAGTTAATTATTTATTCTGTTGCATTGGCTGGGGATTGAGCTGGTGTCAGGAGAACCTGCTGGAGCACACCGAGTCTCTATAAAGTGTGAACTCGACTTGTAGTTGAGCGTGTTACTAATTTAAAAAAGTAAAAATTTGATAAAATCTTTCAGTTTTGCTACAATGACGAGATCTCTGTACAATTTTGTCCATCAAACAATTCTCTTTTCTTTTGCACTGAACTTCAATGAGACAGCAACTGTCTCCTTATGTTATCTGAATGATTTTCATTTGAAAAATAAAATTTTGAAATTTATGTATCATATTTTAATTATATATATTACATGGCCATCTCCTTCCTTGAAAATTATATATAATTTTTTTTCTTAACTTCTTATTATCTTTTTAAATTTTTAGTTACTATAAATATATATACAATTATTAGATTATGAATTTATTTGATCTTGATATTTAATTTTTCTTTTTTCTTTCCTTCAGGAAAATGATGTAGAAATAGTACCAACATATCTCATTGGTGGTAAAGAACCTGTGAAGGAAAGAGAAAAAGCTAAATGGATTAGGAAAAGAAATGTGCCTGAAGTTGCAACATCGTGGCACAATTATATGGCTAAGCGAGTTATCCAAGATTTTCAGAATAGTGTTCTTCAAATATCTGAGGCTCCTTATGATGAAAAAACTGTTTCATCAATTCCGTCTGTACACTACGAATTTCCTAGTGGTTACCATCAGGTATATTTAATTAGTTTCTTAAAGTTATTTTAAACATAATTATTCATGTTTTATACTAAATTAATTAATATATTATGAAATAATTATCTTTTCTACTTCAATAATAAATAAATATTAATCCAATAATTTTCAGGATTTTAGCTCAGAGCGATTTCGAATACCAGAAGCATTATTCGATCCCTCTCAAATGCGAGGTGGTATGGTGGGAAATACAATGCTTGGAGTTGGTCACATTGTGACAACAAGTGTTGGAATGTGTGATGTTGATGTCCGACCTGCTTTATATGGTAGTGTTGTAATAACTGGTGGAAATTCATTTATACAGGTAAATATAATAGATAGCTTAATTATTTGAAAATTTTACTTCATACTAAATATATTGTCATTTTGGGATATGGCATTTGGTTTCAACACGTACCCAATATTACAAAATATTTATATGAAAAGGCCGTCATGACTAAGAGTCTCAAGGCATCATAATCTTACCAACTTACATTAAGCCTCGTTGAAGTTCAGCCTCAACATGTTGAAATTAATGTTGTAGCAGACCCACAGAATAACTGAATTATAAAATTATCTTTTCATTCATTATATATTCAGATAGAAAACATACCATTCTCTTTTCGGTAAGTAAATTTCACATATGCTTAAAATGGACTTACTTACAACCGTTTGATGAGGTGTTTCTTCAGTTATGATCTCTTTTCATATACAGCCACTTTTCTGAGAAGACAGATAAAAGGGCCTCTTATTTTTAACTTCATGGATTGTATAAAAAAAAATGACCATTTTCAACAAAAATTTGATATATTTTTTTCTTTTATATAACATAAAAATAATATTCAAAATATAAACCATTGAGGTGCACTGCCATTTCCCATCTTTCAGCCAGTTGATCCCGTGCAGGTACAACTCTTTTGGATGGCTATAAAAAATTCCTGGAAAAATCCGCTGTTTTGACTTTTTGAAATTTACTTATTGTTTTTCCATTCAAAAAGTGAGCCATGGATTGAAACAAATAAAAATCTGATAAAGTAAGTATGTGGCCGGGCATTGTATTGCTGGAACATAACTCCTTTGAGGTTCCTCCGAAGTTAGATAACGCTGCGACATTTTCGAGTACATTCTATCTAACTCTTCACAATAGAGAAAGAATAAACTCTTTCTCTATTGTGAAGAGTTAGATAGAATGTAATTTAATTTTAATTATTACATAGTTTATTGTAAGTCCATCATAAACAAATTCATTATGGGTTACTCTTTCATAGTTCTACAAAATTTAAAGGACTGAATTTTTTTCATACTGTCCCTTTATAGCAATCGGAAAAGCTTTGGACCTCAATCTAACCATTGCAATGGTATCAAAATTGCACTAGTAATTCCACTTTTCATTACAAGTGACAATTTTTTTGTAAAATTGAAAATTGGAAGGATTTTGTAAATAGGTTTTTACAAATCTCCACTCCCTTTAATGCCTTGTTGGGGTGGAAGCTTATGCTGTACCAATGTACGTTTTATCTTACCTATGATATGTTGATGGTGACACGCAGTATCTTTTGACACTTAACGATCCTTGGCAAGATCACGAGTACTTGTGGATGAATTTGATCCTACAGCTTGCTGAAGAACCTCATCAATCTTGAGTGATGGTTACCCTTAACCCTTCTTCTTTTCCAAAGATGTATCTCCATTAGAAAATTTTTGAAACCAATACCATGCGATTCGCATGTCAATGATATTTCCTTCAGTTTTTTTTATTTCACGAGCTGCTTCGGAGGATGATTAAGATTTTTCAATAATGTCTTAAAATAGTAGAAATTTTGTAAGATATTGTCTTGTTGCTTTTTCAATAAAAAATTTTGAACTAATGCTTTATCGGGCCAGTCCATTGATAAATAAGGTTAGATTAGTGTTCTAAAGAGATAATAAACATTCTTGATAAACAATAAATAGGATTAACGTGTTTGGAGATCTTGGTATATTTTACGATTTTTACGGTATATTGAGATATTTTACGAAATGATCATTTTTTTAATACAGTCCATTATTTACCCTCTCATTCTTGACTTGACCAGTGTCCTATATTCCATTGAAAAACTACCTTTTTGTATTGCTGCACCTAAAGTTCTTGCTCACAGACAAGTATTTGTAAACATAATATCTTCTTGCTTTCAAAACCCTTATTACTGACAATGTATCGATCACAATGACCATTCATTGTATTGAAAATTACTTTTGAGCCTTTTTTTTATTATTGTGGGGGCTTCAGATTAACACTTTTGCACACCCTGATAACTTTTATGGATGGATCCTAAGAGATTTGCTTTTCTCATAAATTGTTAAAGGAAACTAGAATGAATTCTTTCTTGGTTCTAATGGCTTCGGTTATTAAATCATCAGTATAAACTCCTGTTTGAATACTTTTTATTTGCATATATCGGAATCAGAAATTTCAATTAACTCATTCCTTGCCTTCCTTATTTTTTATTCCTGACATTGAGAGTTAACTTTTTGGGTTATAGTTCGTAGGCTCAGATCTGGAAATCATCAGCATGCAATTTTTCATGAGTTGTCATATATAGTTCTAATTCAGGCTAAAAAGTATCTAAGGATTGATATTTCACATTCATTTTTCATTGATTTTTAAAATTTTGATAATAGCGGAATTTTGAACTATTACACGTTTAGGAAGTCATCAAGGGACATTTCATAACCTCAAGTCACTAAAAATTTTGATGGAATTTCTCATTGTGAAATTAAAACATTGTGCATCTAAAAAAACTACTTTTAATAGTTAAAAGGATTTGTGTTGTTTTGTTGCATTTACTGTTTTTTTTATCGATAAATGAGGTCGAAAATTCAAAAGTAGATTATCATTGCATTAACCGATAAGAACTATAGAAGATACTTAAAGGGTTCAATATCTCTGGTAAACTAATACCACTTGTAAAGCTGACCATGAGAGAAGTGAAGTGTACTGTACAGGCTGGTGGACAATGGATGGAAGAGTTCTCCTTAGGAAAAGGACTTCTCCAAGGTAATGCTATAGCATGCCTCCTGTTTAAATTGACACTTGAGAAGGTAGTGAGGGATTCAGGTTTTCAAACTGACAGTTTACAATCTGATGGTCGAGCTGTTAGCCTACGCGGATGACATGGACATCATGGGGTTTTTTTTATTAAAAAAATGTATTCAATTTTTGATGAAGAAGATATTGTTCTAAAAATGAAGCTTAGGAGACTGATATGGGCTGGCCACATGGTTAGGATGGATGACGAAGCAATCCCTAAAAAGGTTCTGATGGAACCTCTTCACGGCATTAGAAGAGGAAGACCAAACCTCAGATGGTCAAATGGTGTAGCAAGAGATGCACGGGATATCACCGAGTTGTAGAACCAAGATAGATAGAAGGTCCGAATTCACAATAGGTTATAAATTCAGATCCATCAAAAATCTACCTAGTGACTTTTAGCAATAAACTAACTATATATAATTCTTAGTATAAAAAAATAGTGATTACTTGTAAGTTTTCTGTACTTACATTTTTAAACTTTTAAAATGTATTGGTTTCCAAATTTTATTTTTGTTTAAATGTATCTAATCTATCATTGAACTTTTTTTTTTTTTTTTTTTAGGGTTTCCCTGAAAGATTAAATCGTGATCTTTCTGTTCGCATACCATCAAGCATGCGTTTGAAACTGATTTCTGCTAATGGTTGCTCAGAAAGGCGTTTTGGAGCTTGGATTGGTGGTTCTATTCTTGCCTCAATCGGCACATTCCAACAAATGTGGATTTCGTCACAAGAATACGAAGAGGCTGGAAAAGCTCAGATAGATCGGAAGTGTCCTTAATAATTGACTTTTTAAATTTTATCTCTATAGACTAAAATGTTATAGTTTAATTACTAAACACATTTTGATGTCGAATATATCATTATGTTACGTTTAAAACTTTTGTGGCATAATTCAAATGTAGAAACTCAAATTCATCTTCGATTTACTGTTAGAATAAAATTCTACAAATTTTTAAAATGAAATTCTGCAAAGCCAGATTTAATTATTTCATATTTTTGATTGATTTCAGAAATGTATATAATTTAAATATAAGTGAGTGTAAATTAGTAAATTGTAATAAAATTTCTATTTTATTTATTGAGGAATCTGTATAGATTAGAATTTTTCTAGAGCACCTCTAAAACATAAAATCTGCAATATCATTATGAACTATTCATAATTTGTGTTGAATTTATTTTCTATTGAGAACCTATCTAATGAACTGTCTTGAATCAAGAATAAACTTTTGTCTTTTACCAAATTTTATTATTATTTTTATTTATTTAACTGTCAGCAATCATATTATTTCTAATATTTCTTTCTTACTTTATTGTTGTCTTATATAAAAGTATTTACATAAAGATTTATTGTTATCTGTATTTAATATCTTGCCAAGTAAGGATGAGATGGTAAATATATATTTTTAATTTTTTTTTTATAATGGCACAATTAAATTCTATTGAATACAATGCCATTTGTTTTTGTCATTAATGTTACAATTTTTATTTATCATCAAATAATTAATTCTTGTAACCATTAAAACAAAATGTTGACTTCTGACTTGTAACACTGCAATCTTATACTCATAAATCAATTGACAGATTATATTTGCTGAGATAAACCTGTCTGTTCCTCACTATTTCATCATTTCTATTGTATATAGTTTCCTCCATATCTCCAATATATTTGTGTTGGATTTGAGAATGTTTAGTTTTTAATCTTATAAATTTTCTTCTTTTTTTTTTTTATTAATTACTATGTTAAACATATTTTTTCCTCAAAATAAAATTATTCGCTCTGTTGAGAGAGTCTAGTTGGCAGAAGTACACAGTTGTTGACCTAAAGCTATAAAACTACCTTACATAGTAGATATTTGCACTTTGTGCTGGTTCTAAATAAACTTTAAATGTCTGCTCCATAAACGAATAAAACCTACAATGAAGTAGTTATGAGTAGGAGTTAGACAGATATATTTAATCCTCTACAAGATCTATTATTATGCTTTTTGCTCAAAAAAATAGTTTTTAAAGCGAAACCATTGACACATCCAAGGTTTTGTTGTATCTCTGAAGCCATTCCGATCTTTCCAACATGTTCTTATAAAATGTTATGTTCGAGTTACTGAAAAAAAAACAACACTTTTTCTGAGGGTGTTCAATACTTAGAAAATAACTAAAGATCAAAATTACTCCACATTTTGCAATTAAAAAATTACTATTTTGAGCTAAATTTTTAGAAATCCCATTGTGCAAAGTAACTAAAGCTATTTTGTGGCTTAGGGCAATAAGTATTCTATTTAGGTTGAAAGGCTTTTCATTTTATAATTAAATGAATAAGTAACTTTCATCTATCCTTAGGGTTGCTTGAATAAGATCAGGGAAGCATTCTCTAGTGCACAGCAAGACTTTACACCAATACCTATGTCATCTCATTAATAGTTAATCGCCATGTATGAAGATGGGAGCATATTTTGGGTAATGAGGAGGTATTTTTGTTTTGTCTGTATAATGTTTTTCATTTGATCTTCAGTGTAGGAATTCTTACTAGGTTGTAATGAAATCCTTGTGCTTGAACACACCCCTTAATTCCAACTCTAATATTTAATTGTATCAGAATGTGTTTGTTCCTATTATTTATGTCAATGTTTACTTTGATTAATCCTTTAATTCCTTGTGACTTGAGTTGGCTTTATGGGGATATTTACATTTTTAGAACATGCACTGTCAGAAGAAAAAATCGTGATTCATGGTATTTTGAGACATTACTAGAAAAAATCTAGGTTTAGCTCTAAGCGCATAGGCAGCTGCCAAAGAAATTTGTACCATGGAAGGAGAGTCAGTTATCTATCAAAATGTCCCACTTTGGTTCAGGTACTTCAACAATGAATATGAACCTTGCAGAACAGAGATCAGGTAGCCCATCGGTCGTTGATGATGACATTCTTCTTGAATGTGTGAACCAGAATCCACATGCAACTACTCCTGATTCATAGTAAGAGATCCAATGTCACAGTGGCTCCTCATCTTAAAAACCTGGAGGGAATTTAAGAATAAGTTACGGTACGACACATGACTTGACAGAGACCCAAGACTGGAGGTTGTGATGACAGAGTGTCTGAAAGTGTAAACATTAACATGGAGTCTAACGACACCGGTTCGAATCCGGCCTGGGTGGGTTAAAATTTATTGAGTGGAGGACCAACGATGTGAATCTCGACCTTACCGAAAAAAGAGGTCGGAGTCCAGAAACGAGTTCATGTTTGCAAAAGTTTGCTTCTAATTCCAAAAGATAGTAGGTTCTAGAAAAAAAAATTCACAAAAGTGAAGTGGATATTTTAAAAAAATGCTTGGCAAACATAAGCAGTGGGTATGCCCAGGTGAAGCTGTACAATCGGAGGTTCGCCAATATCGGTTTGGGAAAAAAGTTATACTTTTTGTTTGGTGGAACTTCAATGGCGTATTACATTTTGAGCTTGTTTCAAGCATTTTGGGTTTTGTTGAGATGGTCGTGAAGTAAACTCAAATCTCTACTTTGGACAGCTGTACAGAGTTTATGCAATTTTGAATGCAAAGCACCAGTCAACAGGAACGAATGCATGTGATACAAGCCAACAATGGCCCTGCACATCGTTCTCGTTCGACCAAGGAAAAATTATCGGAACTGCAAGCAGTAAACGTTTTGACGTTTTTTTCTCATCCTGGGTATAGCCCAAATATTGCACCATGAGATTATGGTTCGTTTTCATCAATGGCTCATTTTTTGAAAGGTCGGATCTTTGATAATTACGATAGTATAAAAATTGGATTTGAAGAGTTTTTGTCTCTAAACCAAAAAAGTGGTTCCAGTATCAAATCAAATTACTGGCAGAAAGCTAGTTGAAAATATTGTTCTTTACTTTGAAGAGTATTATTCAATAATGTTTCAAAAATGTTGTGTGAAATAAAGCTATACTTGTGCATAAGGGCTTTTGTAACAATCTAGTAATAGGGATTGCTTTAGTTAACAAACTTTAGGACCATTTCCTGCTCTTCACATAAAATTTCTTCTTTTTTTGAGATCAGGCGTAGTGTTTCCGTGCCTAATTATAGTCAGAATTAAGCGAATTTTGTTTTTGTTTTTATGCTCGATATGGAATAACATATGCTGCAACATTTGTATAACCTTTCAGTCACAATACCATGTGTTAGCGTTTCTTATGTGGAAATGTTTTAATCAATGTTTAGTTTGATCAAGTTACATCGGCAATCATTGAAGTGAAAACTTCTTTAGACGCGTTTTGCATTTTTTTTTGTGGAGAGTGAATTAGATTGAGACATCAGATCTTCGATGTGTAACGCTCGGGTAAAGTAGGCTGGAATCGACTAATTGAAATGTTTTTCCATATGGATTAAAACATCAAAGAAACTAAACATCGGACCAGCATACTGTAAGCAACGGAATTGTTCAACATTTCATTCTCTCTGTAATGAATGGGCTATTATTTATATTTTATACGTACTATTATTTATCTCGCTTTGTTGGTATTTTTACTTCTATCGTGTGGTCTAAAGCACACACTATATTTTTTTTATTTAATTTTTTTTTCTCGTCCCTGATTTACTTTCTGTCAAGACATGTGTCATTGTCTGTCAATTGCATTAGAAGTTGTGCTATTTTTTTATATCATATTACTTATTTGATATATTTCGTTACTGATGATTCAGTAGCATGGTATTTAGGATACACTTCATTCCAGTCAGTATATGAACAGGCTTCGATAATTTCCTATGTGAAGAAAAGCAGGTACACTTATGTTTGATTAAGAGTCAAGAAGAGCTTTATCCAATAAACTGCTCACTCATTACCTCAATGCAATTGTGTCCTTTGATATAGGTCAATCTAATTCTTATACCACTCTTCATTATATTTATTACATTTTTGCTGTTAGTGAATTGTGAGATTTTGTGTTATCACAGACTCATAGATAAGGCTTATAGAAGAAATGGTTGATTTATTTATTTTATAGCATGATTTAAATTCTTCTCAAACATGTTAAGGGTCACCAATATGTCAATTTTAGGAAGAGATATCGAACTTATTTATATTAATAAATAAATTCGAAATTAGATTCTGTAATGGATTGTAACCCTTACGATTATCGCTCTAAGACAAACATATACCTAATTACCATACAAGAGGAGCTTGAGCGGCGAATGGGGAAATGATAGTTTTTGAGACGAGAGCGGATGTCAGAGGGGCAGCAATGCTGTGGGCGAAAGCTGGAGCATAGGCGGGAGCGGCGTATGCAGGGGCGGCGAAGGCAGGGGCGGCGTAGGCGTGATCAGCGATGGCTGGAGCAGCAACGAAAGCTGGAGCAGCAGCAATGGCAGGGGTAGCGTAAGATTCAGCGATTGGGGCAGCGAAAGGAGCTGCAACTTCTGTAGCAATGGCTGGAGCAGTGGCGATGATTGGAGAGGTAGCGAATGCAGGTGCTGCGGCTACAGCTGGTGCAGCGGCGATTGCTGGGGCGGTGGCGATTGCGGGTGCCGTGGCGATGGCGGGAGCGGGAGCGGCAACAACAGCTGGAGCTGCGGCGATTACAGAAGTTGCCAATGGAGCGTCAAAAGTGGCGTGAGCTGGAGCAACAAGAAATTGCCTCTTGTCCCTCTGCTCTTTTGGATGAGCAGCTACGGCGGCGATGGCCATCAAGCAAACCTGGAAATAATGGGAGTTTAGCATGTCTAATTTCTTCATTATTAATTACCTTCAGTACATACTTATAGATGCATATATTGTTGTTAGTTATTTTATAATTCAGAAGCTGACAAACAGTCAGCGTTTGCATTATATATACGGTTTATTAGGCTTAACAACGTCTCGGCCCAAGCGTATGGGTCATCATCAGAACAATGGATTACACTATCTGTCACTTCTTGTCGCTAGACTAGACAGTAACCATTGCCCTAATGATGGCTCATATGATTTGGTTGAAACGTCAGCAAGCCTAGTAAACCTTTTATACACTGAAAATTCCTTACTTAGATAATTCTAAAATTACAGTCCAATCGTATCCAAAGAGAACATGACTTAAGGCTTCGTTTATTGGTTTTGGTCATTTTGCTCGGTTTTGCAACTTCTCTTTTTCTGTTAGGGAAGAAGTATGGTAATATTTGTTATTTTGTCAGTAATTTTCAAAAATGTGAATACTAAATATGTCATTTTTAGACTACCTTTACTGTCCTGAGTATCATATTATTAATTTAATTTATTTCTCAATTCTCATCAGCAGCGGATTTAGGCTTAAATTTTGTTTTTGTCCTTGAAGGCTTGTAAACAAAAATAATTAAAAAATTAAATTTTTTTTTTTTAAATCTGTAAATATTGGAACTACCTAATGTTTTTAGGGGTATTTTTTTCTGTACACATAGTAACATTTAATAGCTCTATATGGTTTAAGATTAAAAAGGAAGCATATCAAGATTATCACAGAAACAAATATTGTTTAACCCATTTTTACGATTTTCTAGAAAACGGCTCTACCGATTTTGATTAAATTTATTATACTTTTGTAAAATTAAGCGATTTTTAATAGTTGTCATTCTCATGCTGCTCTCTAACGGTGCTTAAATGCCTAATTTTCAAAACGTTTTCCTATATAGTACCTTTAATTTTTTTATATAAAGTAATTAATCATTTCATATTGTAACCTGATATAAAAAAAACAAAAAAAAAACGAGCAGCACACCAGATTTTTCTGTTTTGGGGACATTGGCCCGAAAGTTCTTTCCTTCCAACTTGGAACCATGATTGTATTGGATCAGTGATTTTCACCATATGAAATAGTAAACCATATGATAGACGAGGTTACACTGCCTGATACCTGATAATGTCTATTATTTTCGGGGTAAATAAGATTAAAATATTATTAATATTTTTAATTGCTATACCATGTATAATCATGTCTTTAATTGGGTGTTGTTTGTACAAATATGTTTATTTGAAGATTCGTCTGGAATAAACGATTTCGGTTTGATGTCACCCAGCCAGGTTCTTTTCTTTCATGATTTTAATGCCGGTATGTTTATTTTATTTCTATTTTTTAAATCAACAAAATAATTCCTACGCTCTAGGCGGCTGCTCCTATCGATTCCTGAGGAGAAATATCCAAATTCCAAAAGTTTAAGTCGACTAATAAAAAAAAAAATTAAACTTTTAAATAACCATAACAGAATTCACAAAACAGTGTATAATTTTTGAATTATTCGGAAATGTAATTTTACCACCCTTCGTAACTTTTTTCCAGCTTCTTTTCGTTGAAGTACGTTACATAGGTCAATTTGAAGGTTGTAGAGGAGAAGACTTTAGCCAAGCTTCATTGAAATTGATAAATTCGTTTATGCGCTACAGTCTGTACCAACACAGGTTTTTCGGGCGTCAACATGAAAGGAAAGAGCGGATAGTAATGTTGAAGTAGGAGGATCATCCTCGGGTGACCTCTGACTTTGATTCCAAACTTGGAAAAAATCGGTCCAGTAGGCCTGGAAAAAACCGCGGACGGCGGACGGTCAAAAAAATTTGTATTCGATTTTCGTATTATACTTATCATGTAACGTAAAACCTCAAATTCAGAGGAGGGGTAAAATTTTTGATTTTTTTTTGGACGATTACAATGGTTAATTATAGAAAATAATAAACCAAAAAATCAATAATTTATGTTTTTGGGCGCAGGAGAGAAAAAATAAATTAAGTGAGATATATTAATAAAACAAAAAATAATTAACTAGTCCGAAGACTGGTCGAAACCAATTATCAGATATTCACTATTTCACTTAGACGAGTTAAATCCTTAAAGTATCAGCAAGTTTATCATTAGGGTTAGTGTTGCCCTAATGCGAGACATAGACTAGTCTTGGTCTTGCAAACTCAGTCTTGTTCATGCACAAGAGACTCGGAACAGTCTGACAATGACTTATTAGCTTATTTCTATAGACATATAACTGTAATTTTTTAGATAGGAGAAACCTAACTAAGCCCGAATGAAAAATTAGAGGAGTTAAATACAAAAGTATATTGGTTATACCAATTATTTACATATAGGCAAAAGACTATTTTGCCTTGATTTTTATTCAAAAAATCGACTTTTTTTACCAGTCCTGGTCTTGGACTTGCAACAGTTAAGTGGACTCTTGGTCTTGCAAAGTGCAAGACCAAGACCGATTTTGGGCAACACTAATTAGGGCTGTGAAACGTTACCTAACTAGCCTAAAAGGTTTGTTTTTCATACTGATCTATGTATGTATTTTTGCATATTTTAATTAAACTAAAAAAAATTAAATTAAAATAACTTTGATTTTTTTTTTTTTACCTTCTTCGACTTTTAGGCTATACGAAGTATTCTATCACCATTGGATAAGAGCGAGGTACTATTTTAATATCAGATATATTTCATCTTACATAGCAGATAACTTATAGGAAAGAAAAGTAAAACATAACACGTTGCTAATTAAAATGCTAACCCCACTCTATCTAATAAACTTGAACGATAGCAACACTAAAAGATTTGTAACATCCAAGATATGAATTTGAAAATTACAAAAGATACAACTTCCAGAGAGGATCATAGGAACGAGTGAATTTGCTGTTTGTGTATAAAAAAATAGATACGAATGACTCATTACCGTGTCCGATTGATCCGAATAACTAAGTTCAACTTAAAAGAGATGAAAAGAATTATTTTTAATATAGGTACATTATACCCGATGTCTTCAGGAATAGACGAGGCGTTTCAAGAAGGTACAAACTAGGTATCATGTATTGCTTAGAATGATACTTACAAATGCGGTTTTCATTTTTGTGGATGTTGAACTGGTTTCCAAAAGGCAACTGTGCCGAGAAACTGGAATCCTGGTATATATAGGACCTTCCCCTTTAGTCCTTGAAATTTTAGTACTGCTGGCAAGTTGACCTTTCTTTGTCGCTTGTGTCCGAAGATTCATGCGAAGGCGGGCTTCATGGTGCTTCTCTACCTGCGTCGGTAATTTTGGAATTTTTTTTTTTTAAAAGGAAGACTTATAGCTTATTTTATCAGGATTTTCTATATCATTTATACGTATATATTATAAATAATTGAGGAAAATATTGGTTGGGGTGTTCAGTCAAATAAAACGCAAAAATAAATAGTTTCGTCCCAATGTTTAGGTCTTCATTAAAGCTGGCCTAACGGAAGGTTTCCGTGAGACCATATTATTAATATATAATTAATATACTTATTAATATATTATTAATAGGTGCATCCTTGCATTGTGCGTCCGCAGTTAGTGGCAAATCCTGCCCTGAATGTGGGTGCCATGAACCTTTACAGGCGAAAATCCAAAAATGTTCAATTTGTTGAATTCATCTTGTTTACTTATTTTTTAAGAAATTAGTTGTTAAACACTACTTCATCAGACGTAAGTATTTTAACAAAAATTAAAAAAATAAAATATTGGGTTGGCAAATAAGTCATTTCGGCTTTTCCGTTCATTTTTATGACACTATGATACACCTTTTATCTGATGAATTAATTCCTAATGTGGATTGTTTATCCTGTTTTTCATATATCAACAAATATATCTGTTAACTCTTGTTGAAACTAGCTTAGTATTGTGTTTATTATTGAATATGGAAGAAAATATCATTCATTATTGGCATATTTTGTTGTATTATTTTAAAAAAGATAAGTGTGCTATAGAAACTTTTAGAAAAATTTGCAGTGTTTATGGGAATGAATGATGCCTTAACCAAACGATTTGTCAAAACTGATTTGCCAAATTTCATTCAGGAAATTTTGACATCAATGATGCTCAACGGTCTGGTCGCCCACATCAAATTGAAACGAGCAATGTTAAGGCCATTGTTGATCAAAATCCCACCCAATCAGCGCGACAGATTGATATGGCCCTAAATGTGTCCCACACAAGCGTAAAAACTATTTGCACCAGTTCGGCTGTTTCCAGGCTTAATGTTTGGGTCCCTCACATGATTTTTTTTTTCGAAAATCATAAAAAATGTTAAAAATTCAATACGACTTTAACTCTCTACAAGAAATTTATCAGGAATTAAGGACTAAATAAACTAAACAAAATGACTTTCGTAAACAAACCAAAAATGGAGATAAAAAATAAAAATCTATAAGGAGTTTTTGTTCATTTATTCCTTACGTAGGCATTAAATAAAAAACCATTCATACGGTTTTGAAGAACAATAATTCAGCTTTTCTACGAACATGGAATTTGGAGAAGATCCTAAAGAGCTATGAATGATCAGAAGGGTGTTGTGTTCAACCAAGACAACGCTAGGTCCAAAGCCTCATTGAACACTTGCAATATATTATTGAGCCTTGGATGGGACCATTTGTTTCACCCTCTCTATTCACCAGACCTAGCTCCAAGTGACTACCACTTATTCCAGTCTCTGCAGAACTCCATGAATGGAAAGTAATCCCAAAAGGAAGAGGACTTCAAAAACCACTTGGATCAGTTTTTTAACAATAAACTCCAGACATTATATGAACAGGGCATTATGCAGCTAGTGGAAAGATGGAAAAAAATCATATTAAATATTGTAGATTAAAATAAATTTTATGTCTATAATACATTGAGTTTTATTTTACCCTGAAAAGCCGAAAGGACTTATTTGCCAACCCAATACTTTTGGTAGATTTTATATTAAAAAATGCGCGAACGGAGGACTGACAAAAAAATTTTTATTCGATTTTGGAGTTTATGTATCCTGAACAGTAACACATCAAATTTTTTGAGGGGTTAAAATTTTGAGTTTTTTGGACATTTATTATTCATTATTGAGAATAATAAAACAAAATTAAATTAATATAAATAAAATACACTGTATTTTGAAAACAAAATACTTGTCATTTTTAATACTGTATTTTAATATAATAATTATAATACTTTTTGTCATGGTTTCAATATGTTTTTATTTTTCAGATCTTTAAATTATATACAATAATCTATTATATTGTATTATTGCTATTACTGAAGCTGTGATGCGAATACATATCAACTCATATTTTCGCTTATTCGAAAGGTTTAGTTGAAATTTAAAAAGCATAAATCCATGAAACTCCTTTGGAATCAGAAACTGTGATTTCTCAAACGATTTTCTTTTTTTATTTATTGCTATTGACGGGCTTTAGTGTTATCTATAAGAAAAAATTGATATCTTAATGATAAATAAAAATGTAAATGTTGGTTTGTTCAAAACCGCTAATATCAAAAATTTCTTCACGGATTGGTTTTAAAATTTTGATACCAAGTTGCAACCAAATTCAGAATGTTTTTATATATATTTCAGTATCATCGGGCGTTTCCTTTCAAAATATAAACCTCATTTTTTCCCTCAAAATTTTCACCAAATGGGCTTAGATGGTTCAAATATTTTTTTTTGAAGAATTAACGATGGATTTACATTTATATTTGCCAATAACTAAAAAAGTACACAAGTGATGCTGCAATGTTTTCTTTTCTAAGTAAATATAAAAATGAATGTTCGAATATATAAGAATAGAAAAAAATATGCTGGAAACAGGTAAATTCATTTATGTTTTCCTCAAATTTCCAAAAATGATTATGGTCCAAATTCGACCACTGGTCAAATACCAAACCGTTATAGATTTGAATAAAGAATGGACATTTAAACTAAAAAAATAATATGTCAACTTTAACACATATATAACGCATCTTCTTTAACGTTTGTAATCTAAAATATATTTATGAATTTTCTTACCTTTTCAGTTATTGTAATCAAATGTAATACTCTACTTTTACTGCTTCATCTGTATGTCCATATGTTCTTACGGATATAAATTAATAAATAATATTAATTTAATAAAATAATAAAACAGCTGGTTAAATATGATAAAAATGGAAATGCTAAAAAAAAATTGCAAAATTTGCCAATAATTTTCTAATAAGAAAAATTATCTGAAATTGAACTCAATTGAGGTTTATATGAAAAACATGAGTATCGTTTTAGTTAATTAAAATATTTATTTGTCTATTAACGATAATATTTTAATTTAATATTAGATATAACGGTAAGAAAAAAATTCTTATAAAAAAAAGTTAATGAACATAACAGAAAAAATTTATCTAAGATTTATTTACTTATTTTAAAGAAAAATATAACAATTCGCTTCTATTAATGTTAAGAAAAATATACGTAATATATGTATACTTCTGATATACAAGTTATATTATAACTATATTTATAATTTATTTCAGAAGTTCTAAAAAAAAAAAAATTGTGAAGAGTTGTCAAAGCACCATTAACCACTAAAAAGTTGCAATATTTAAATTATTAGAATTATAATAATTACCAAGCCTGTGATTTAAATATTTATAATTGATAAGCCTACAGAATTAATTTTTCTGAACAAAAACCACCTGATGAAACACCAATGGTTAAATGCATGTATTTCCAATAGAAACATATTTAAAAAATCATATGGGAGTAAAAACAAAAGAAGAAACTTTGGCAGAAATTTAATAAAATTTTCGAATTAAATCACAATGAAAAAGAAATTTATGATAAAAATAATAAACCTAATGGGACTATTACGAACGAAGATTAATATTTCGTCTGCCAAAAGCTTTGATGACGAAACCTTTGTTGACTTTTTAAACTCAAATCTGAAACATTTCCTGAATAGGATAAAAATAAAAAAAATTATGGAGTCATCGTTTATTGGCTATTACGCAACCGGTCCCGCTAACGTTGTTGACGGCCGTTAAAATCCTTTCGGTCTAAAATCCACCGAACAATAGTTTATGATCCATTCTATTTAGACATCAATACTATATGATTATGTATCACAATTTCTTTTATGAAATTTCTCTAGAATCTTATGTAAATCCTTCAGCATAATCATCTTGCCTCACCAATCCTTACAATCTTCCTCGAAGGCTGAAATGGCAGAGGTCCCGAAACCTCTTGCAACTGTGCAATTCATTTCGAGTTCTTCATGTGCATGTTTATTGGATTTTCAACTTGAAACGTGCATACCCTTCTAAACCTTATTTAGCCTCCAATTGCTTCTAACTCCAGGAACGTGATTAAGAGAGAAGTGGCGGGAACTTCTGGAATTCTGTTTTTTCTTCTCAAGAGAAAATAATATGGTTGTAGGCGTTTTCCTGGATGATTGTAAATAATGTATATACCGGCCTATGTTATTTATTTTTACTTATCAACTCTTTTATCTTCCCTCCCTTCCTCATTTTATATTTCATAAATCCTTTTATGCTATACTAGGTTTTTCCCGGGTTAGGGGAGAGAACCAGAGTTAAAAGCCTCCGGCACCTGGACACGAACTCCTTATTATTTTAACATGTAAACTATGGTTTATCTGTTTCCATAGTTTGGACAGGTAATAGATAAACATAATTTATGTATTTAATATTTTTTATGTCTCGATTTAATAATCAAACTATGAGTATGCTTCTTACCGCAAATCCACGATCATTTTGGCTCGGTTTTTGAAATCCATACTCAGTCCCTTCGGATGAAATCTGGATGTCCTTGAGGAACGAACTTGTGACTTTGTGGTTAGCTGTTGGAGAAGATAACTGAAACAACGAAATCCTACAAACTTGTATTATAAGAATATATCAAATATTGATAGAAACTTGTGAAACAGTTTTGCTATAAATTCGATTAATAAAATTTTGACCAAAGGTATAATTAAAATATTTATTAAATCTTGGAAAATTGGAACACCATTAAAAACATTTTAAGTAAATAAAGCAGTCATTTTAACACAGATATAGAAAAGTAAGTATTATTTTTTCAATGATTACTTCAAAGCCAAATCGATATCTTATATATTTACCGGTAAAAATCTGAGATCATGTACATTTGGGTTTTTCAGTTGACAAAATGACTAATTTCAATTTCAAATTTTTTTATTATTTATTTTAGTAATATTTTTAGTGGGAAAACCTACTCTGAAATAAACTTACTCACTGTCTTTATGTATATTATAATTTTTTCAACTAGAAATATCACTAAAATGACTCTACTCACAAAATGTTGAAATCAGAGTTAGTCATTATGTCAACTGAAAGACTCATAGAAGTATAATGATGGAAGAATAAGTATAATAATATTTTTTAATAAGACTTAGCTATCCATAAACAAATACAGACCTAGCATTGTACTCTTTGGGTCCTATTAGACGAAATATATATATTATAGCTTATAGTTCTCTCTGTCATTAAGAACGTAATATAGAAGTCAGAAATCGTTTCAGAATTCCGTCGTCGCTACGAAGAACTAAGAAGACTAAAACATGAAAAGAAAATCTATTTATATTAAAAATATCAACAGGTTTCTTTCTGTATAATCCGGGGTATTGAAGAGATTCATAAACGTATTTGGTTATCTCTTTCAAAATCTATTAAGCCATAAGAAATAATTAAAATAAATGATCTTTCGTCTTAATTAAAAAATATATATATAACCTTCTGAATTGGGTAAGCATATTCATATGAAATATTAAACAGGCGTGGGATACGAAACCATAATCCACTATAAAAAACACATACAAAAAAGATATTGGCAAGAGGTAAATATGATTGATGGAAATATTTTAACCGTCTTGACGACTCATATTTTGTTATAATCATAAGCTAATATTAATCTACCACTCACCATATTAGAAAAAGTTGGATCCTAGTTCTCTTTTAGACAAAACACTAACTTAGTACCCACGTACCAGAATTAAAAAACAAAAACTTAACTGACGATTTGGCTAGTTATATAAATTAGTGAAAGAACATTCCGTCTTTCAATTGACAAGCTATTAGTCAACATGGCCATAATGATGAAACACATCTCGATTTATGAAGTTGAAAACAGCAGAATTTCGGAACTTAAAGCGTACCGATCCTGTTAACGATACTTATATATGAATTGGTATATTGGCAAATATGGCCATGTATATAACCACTAAAAAAATGGTTACTAATCCTCCCAACAATAGTCCATGCTCCACATTACGTTACAAACAAAACCTTACATCAGGGTCTCAACGTTATTCCTGCCAAATGTTCAAACATTCAGAACTTTAGCTGTCATCCTAATCCTCTAGCACAATCCCTATTCCGACTCACTTCTAACTACTCCTACGATCCTTTTTGAAGATTGAAAAGAAAGAGGTCCCGAGATATTTTATGGGCATGCAATGGAGTTCTGGCAATGTCGAACTTCATTTAGGTAGTAGGAGCCTGTGGTTGCTTTATAAAATGCCTCCATTGGCTTTTAATATCGGTAATGTGGCTTGATGAGAAGGGATATCCTGGAGTCCTGGCATGCTTTCTCAATGTCGAAGTTTCCTTAGGCGAATGTAAATATTGTATACAGGTATCAGTGTGTGTCAAGATAATTTAGAGGAAGGAAGTGGTCTGGGGTGGCGGTCATAAATTGACTAAAATAGTGGCCAAACTATTTTATTAAAAGCCAACGTTTCGACCCGACTTTGCAGATCTTCTTCAGGGAGGTGTGTTTAGCAAGGAGTTTCACTTAAAACTGGAACTCTTAAAACACTCAGTTTTAAGTGAAACTCCTTGCTAAACACACCTCCCTGAAGAAGATCTGCAAAGTCGGGTCGAAACGTTGGCTTTTAATAAAATAGTTTGGCCACTATTTTAGTCTATTTATGACCGCCACCCCAGACCACTTCCTTCCTCTAAATTATCTTGACACACACTGATACCTGTATACAATATTTACATGTAAATGTTGTGCGAATGTAAATATTGTATACAGGTATCAGTTTGTGTCAACGTTTATTAAAAGCCAACGTTTCGACCCGACTTTCCAGATCTTCTTCAGGGAGGTGTGTTCAGCAAGGAGTTTCACTTAAAACTGATTAAAAGCCAATGGAGGCATTTTATAAAGCAACCACAGGCTCCTACTACCTAAATGAAGTTCGACATTGCCAGAACTCCACTGCATGCCCATAAAATATCTCGGGACCTCTTTGTTTTCAATCTTCAAAAAGGATCGTAGGAGTAGTTAGAAGTGAGTCGGAGTAGGGATTGTGCTAGAGGATTAGGATGACAGTTAAAGTTCTGATAAATGTTATCCGGACTATATCTTTCCTCTATAATACAACGGTCAACTATTAAGTATTCAGTATGCGTCAAGATAATTTATTTCAGCTTTATCATACTTTTTTACTATAGATATTTCTTTATTATGTTGTATAGTTTGTACGTATGCTCATCGGTGTTCATATGATATTTTACATATATTTGTCTGTATTATGCTTTTATTTTACATATTTTTTCTTTACTTTAATTTAGTGTATGAAAACTATATTTAGTATGGACTGAATGAAACATGTGTCACCATTAATACTTTAATATTCTTAAGGGTGTCAGATGGTAGTATTATATTTATTCCATAAAAATATATACATGTATATATTCAATTTTTTTTTTTTTATATCTAAGGGAGTTTTCAAAGCGTATTACTACTGAATACATAAGCCGGATATAGTTTAGTGGCGTAGAATTTTGTATTTTATTTTTTATTTGTTTAAGGCTAGTCTAAATATAAAAACTGAGAATTGTTTATAGGAGAAGTGATGATAAACGATATACTCATGATTAAAATTCGAGCCTAAACCTGAATCACATCCGGGTGAAGACACTATATCAAGGACGGCAATGATACCGGCTGGACTGATTAAAGATTATATTGTACAAACAAGATGATCTTAACCTTTGCTGATGTGGACAACTATAATAATATACGTTTCATTCGTAACTTGTAGTGATAACTTCACTACATTTCTTATAATAGATCGTAGGAAACTGTAAAGTC